TTGAATTGTTCGCCGCCCTGAGTCCTCCCGGAGAAGGGCGGCATACAAATAATAAAATACCAATACCAATACCAATACCAGTCATATTTTGGTGCTTTTCCCAGCCAACTCTTCCCTCCTAACAAAGCCAAGCTTTTCCCGATTTCGTCATTCTCAGAATGGGCTGTCTATCCTACAGGGTATTGATTGAATCCGAGGGAGATTGGTGGCAGAAGCCACCTGTCATATTTTTTTGTAATCCGGAAAATGAATGCCCTGGCAGTCTTGTTTGCATGTCTGTGTTTGCCCCAAATAAATGAGCAAATAAAATCCACGCGGAAGAAGTTTACAAAGCGATTTTGCATTTGTTTAGCATTAGACGCGTGTGCCAGATAAAGCAATCAATATTTAATTACTAGTCTATCTCTGAGGCTGCACGTCTCTCTTTTTATTGCCAAAGTTTTTCCGCTGTGATGAAACTCCCCTCACCTCTCCTGACCTGAAGTGCCTCGGCTGACAAACTCTGATTCCAGAACGACAATAAATACACTACTTATTACAGTGGGAACGCAAACTCCACAGCTTGGACTCGCAATATCTTTTCTTTTCAGGCTCATCTTTTTCCATCAGAAATAGCTCCTCTAAATCCAGGATTTAAGCCTCCAGCTAAGCTCTTGGTTCGTCTGGCTTCGTGAAAGATAAATGCAGATCTTGACGCGATTTTTCAAAAGGCAACTGGAGGTTCTGGTTTTGCTTCGAAGATGTTTTGCTTCTCATCTAAGAAGCTTCTTCAGCTCTGACTGGATGGTGAGGTGTTCTGACCCCCCTCGTCCCACACCAACGCACGCCGAGCCAAAGATACTTTAAGGAATTTATTAAAAGACAGACAAGCCTTGGCAGCAATCCAGCACAGATAAGCCTTGGCAGCAATCCAGCACAGACAAGCCTTGGCAGCAATCCAGCCTGCCAAGCTAGCCACAAAAGTTATCCAACTTTTAGTCAATGTGTTGACTCCTGCAACGGGGCGTGTGCACAAACATTCCTCTTATAATTCTGGAGAGGAGCCTAATTACCACTAGCTGAGTGCAATTATCTCCTGTAACTGCACAACTGTTCCTTACGCCTATCAGCTCTTCTGTGCCGGGCATCCAGGAACAACTCACTGCTGACGTCCGGATCACACTCCCTTGTCTCCTCCCCACTAGTCCAAGGCTCAGGCGCCTCCTAGTGGCCAACCAGCCTCTCTGTGCTCTGCTCAGAGTTGGAACCCTGTCCAGGGTCCTCCACATCCTCCAGAGCTGACTTGTAGGACCCCTCACTGTTAGAGTCTGGTGGCAGCTCCAATGGCTCCTACTGGGCCACCACAGTGAGGAATGGGAGGATTTACACTCCTTGCAGACAGCTAGTCATTTGAATCCTTTTACAATCATTGAGGCCACTTGGAGGTTTATCTGTGACCTCAGGGTCAACTGAGCAGTGCAAATGAGTGTGGAGCCTTCTTGGAACTGCGAAAT